CTTTTTTTTTTTTTTTTTTGATTCTATTGATAATTCTACATCTAAGCTTACACTTGGTGCCACCAAAATGACGGTGTAGAGAGTTGTAGACAGGACAGCAAGAAAAGAATGCAATTTGAAACTACACGAGATTTGTTTGTAAGGTAAACAGGTAATGACAGACAATCATCATCAAATACATTCATTGCCAATTTAACGTCAACTGTCTCGAATAGTCTGTTGTCAGTATTTACAATGTAAGAAAAAGAAAAAAAAAAGAACAAAAACAAAATTCCTCTTCTTATAAACATAATACAACTGCTCAAAAAGTTTATTTTTCTTACTGATCACACATCTTTTTGGCATATGTTATCTAAACAAAAAATAGCCTTGATTCACTATCAATATAATAACAATAGTAGAAATCTTTATAAAAACTTTTACAACCTCCTTTAGGCCTCTGAAAATCGCTGAAAAACGATAACGAATCGGCAAACTAACTATGTGTACATCTTTTTTTCTTCTTTTCCCTTTCTTTTTTTTCTCGCTCCATGAATCACATATACAAACTCTAATAAAAGCTGACTAATAAGCAAATATGATTAAAGCCCGTTATTGAAGGAAAGAACTATTCACAAGAAAAGCAACATATCAACAAACTGTTTTGGTGTTACACGTACTGAAGGCGCATCTTTGGAAACGCACGGATGACCGAGATTCTGGAATAAAAAAAATGTTCATAATAAAGCCACCAAGGATGAGTGTACAAAAATAGTATGCTATGACAACAGAGCAATGATAATTCTCAACGAAAAAAACTATCTGATTACTAAACTGTCAATATATTATCGTGCAAATAATCACCAATTCCTAAACCCAATGTAGCTTAAAAATGAAACCAAACGCAAAGATAAATCTAGCATTCGAGTCATGATTTAAGGAGAACCAACCTTCCAGAATAGAGCTTTACAGTGACAGCAAAGATGTATGAGGTCTGCATAAACTTCTCGTAGCCCGTAATATTTTTTAAGCTCAAAGAAAACATGTCGCCAAGAGTTGTTGCAACCTTTAAAATGTCTTTCAATCTGCTCTTGACTGAAATGAAAAAGGCACAAGGTCACCCATAATTGACTTTCACGTTGAACGATTGCTTCCAAGGTTTCATGAGCTTTCGCCAACTCTAGCAAGGAAACAT